TTACTTTCTGCTCTCCCGCAGTAGTCGGCACGACACCTACTTTTGTTCTTGCGGATAAAGATGCTGGCCAAATAGCGGCCATACAGGAGGCCTGGTCTTGGACAGCCAATATTCAGCTTTGTTTATGGCATGTCAAACATGCAATTGATCATAATCTAAGAGATAAAAAGTATAAATCGAGTCAGTATACAGCATGGAAAGCAAAAGAAGCCAATGAACAATTTCGTTTTATTGATGCATCCTGGATAGTGAGGGTATTATGTATTAACAAGATAAAATAAAAATATGGTAAAATGACATGCAACACTTCACCTGCTTATACCAATCAGCAAAGAAATCTTTCTTACCTCAATGGAGATTTATCACCAGAGTGTTGAAGAGATATATAGATATTGCAAAGAAGACAATCTAGTTCATTTGTGGGGTTAATTGGTATAATAAGTTAGATAGGAATCTCTTCGCCAGGGCTTCTTATCCAAAAGCAATACCATTAGCAAGAACAATGATGCTTGTAAAATTACACTGGCATGTTCTAAAATATAATTACAAATATAACTGTAATCGTCCTCACCTAGATCACCTAACACAGATCCTAACAAGAGAATTGATTTCCGATCAAATAATCAACTGTAAAAGACTCGAGCTTTCCCTTCCTGGTGGGGAGCATTTAAAAATGAATGGAAAATAGCATTGGACAAGGATATTGGCTCAGAAGACAATTATTTAATGGATGCCAGTAATTGGATTTGTTATGCCCTGCATTTATCAGCAACACTTTCTTAGTGTGTAAACATATCATAAAAGCATGCAGAGACAGGAATCCATCATTCTTCCTTCAATATGTAACAACATGGTGAAGACATGATTATCCACTTATCTGGTTTGTGAAGCCCGTGCAAACATTGATCCTGTAAACAATCCCTGGAATGAGATGAATGAAATTTCCCATAGATGAGTCAGAGATTCCGATGAGCATAAACCGTAATATTGAAACAAGTCTTCATGATCGTAATCAATTAATCAAATATAGAAAAGTTGAACTTACTGAGGACAAAAAGAAATTTGAGTCGTTATTGAAAATCGTTTCAGATAACATTCAAAACGATCAGTTTTATCATACATATAAACAACTAAGACAAGTCTTAATGAACGAAACACAGGCATGTGAAGAGGCTTTAATATTAAGAGCTAGAACACAATGTGGCAATTCAAGACTTGCTTTTTACTTAAATTAGATATAATAATAATAACATGCACAAAACGATCAATGTAATAATAAATAAAGTGTAGTCAGTGGCGTAATGTGCCGTTGCGCCATATTTCAGACTATATTTGGATGATTTGCACTTGCTACCCAATCATGAAAAAGGCGTATCACTCAAAAATCATGTGACTGCCATTTTTTTTGGCCATCACTGACTCTTTAGTTTATCATCACAAACAGTGTTTAATGTATTCTTAATATTAATGAGTTTGAGAAGGTATTTGCTATTGTAATTGCATTTAAAGCTTTTGATAGTTTTGTCTGACTTATTAAATTCTGAATAACTAAGTTTTCAAGTTTCTCTTTCATGTTGCATAAACTTAGAATGTGCATTCTTGTACATAGAAGAAACTGACACGTAAATCGACAGTGATTCTGACACATTTGCTCCAGTATAGTAATAATAGTAATCGCCATTCCAATGTAATAGTCGTTTCATCTGAAAACACATCATCAAACTCTTGAGAACATACACTCTTCAAAATGGTATCTAACATAACATATCCACTGACACAGAATCTTCTTTATGTTTGAGAATGTATGCGTAAATATTCTAAGAATATTTCAAGTTAGTCTTTCTATTTGCGCATCTGGCGACATAAGCCCTTGTTCCATTAATTGAGGTATAATTTTAGGAAATTTACAACGTTGCTTGGTACAAAGGCAACCCCCGTTATAGAATTTTCAAAACCTCCATCCAATCATATAGAAATTAACCCGCTTAACCGAATTTTAATATGAAATCCTTTGTTATCCCGTATCCGAACAAATTTACCCCGTTAAACCGAATTTTCTGCAGTAACCCGAATTAACTGAAGATCATCCTTTGTTAACCGAAGGAAGAAAATTTTCAACCAATAAAAATGCATTATAAAAACTGACAACATTTATTGTACAGAAGGACCTTTTCGCGTGAATTAAACAAGATAAAAAGAATTTATGCAAAACGGTTAGCGATTCGAAGGTTCAAACTAATTTTGGTGACTTCTTTACAATTAATTGACCGATTTGTAATATTTAATGCATCGAGTAATAAAGCAAATTATTTTTTTAGCTAATTGCGCATTTATTTAATATTCATTATGCTTAACCGAAGGAATCGGTATCATGATATAACCTTCGGTTAACACAGTGACCCCGTTATAACGAAGGCGTCCGTCCGGTCCTTTTCCTTCGGTTGCCTTTGTATTGATGTAGAGGCACTAGCTGTGGGGAAGTGGTGTATAGTAGGTTTTTGATAGGACTCGTCGAGTCAGCCATAAAGTAAATTGAGCTATCGGGGTTCTACAAAGTAATACGTAATAATTAATAAATGAGCAAGTGGAGTATTTTGCATACGCGTTTGCCTTCCTATACCTCATACGTATTGTGCAGTGTACTCACTAACGTTATCCCTACTAAAATTCGCTATTGTATGGCACGGTGTGACAAGATGCGATGTCATACGTTATTATTATTGTTATCTGTCGTTACAAGTGAAAGTCGATACAATAACAATAAATTCCACAGTACAGGTTTAATTGAAGAACTAACATCTGATATTAATATAGCAAACTCAGATAAAGCGGTTTTTATTTATTACTTACTGTTATAAAAATATATTTGTCAATAATAATAAAAAAAAACTTTCCCATATTGGATGGAACAATAAGGAGTTCTATTAATATTAACAAGAAGCAAAATATTTGACAACTTGATCTTTATTACCTGACGGATAAGTTTGCGCCATTAATATTACTATGGATTCGGCCACTTTAGTGTACGGACCTTTAGCGGACTCCGCAATAATTTGTTTATTGAACAATGCCTCGTTAAGCTTCGTTTATTGAAAAAAATAAATAAATCCGGAGCTGCTACAACGATTCCACCTTATAAAACTCGGGTATTAATTCTTAATCGGTGGTGTCAAGCCAACTACTACGGAAGAGCGTTCAGTAATTGGCCTTGGGATTTCGTTCTTTTAATCGAGGCTTGGCTAACTTCTACTCCTGCTTAAATCGCTAACACAATTTGAGTAATTTTTATTTCTAACTTTAAATATATACTCACAATTAATTAATCGGTATAACGCAAGTTCTCGATTGTCAATTACTCTGCAGATATTTGTCGACTCTAAATCGATGGGATTAGTTCCGATAGTCCCGTAGGATACAATGAGGGTTTTGATACCCCAAAAAACTAACAATTGTGTTTACCAATTACGAGAATCGATGGACAACCCTAGACTAATAAGAGCCGATGATCTATATAACATGGGAAATGGTTTCTATTAAACCGGAAATTTAAAACAAGATGCATTATAGAGTTAGCTCTGTATACAAATTGTTTCAAGATCGTTCTACCCAGCGATTTCGGAACTCGCGGTTTACGGCAATCAAAATTACCGAATTATCATACGAAATAATAATCTATTGATAGTACAAGTGTTGAAGAAATGTTCAGATTCAAGAACTGAATCCAAACTAGATGTTAGCTAGTGAAATTGCGTCCGCTTACATACGCTCTATCGTTTCACTAGCTAACTATTGTAATATTAGATGTATACTGTATAATCGATTGGGTTGATTTAGAATAGCGACTGCGTTTTACGTGGTATGCACACCAAATTATCCAGTAACGTTAACAAATATGGATTGTATAACCCATATAAAGCGCACGGATAGTGTTTGGCGCAGAAATGCTTGTCATTACGCTGACAAGTAAAGCATGACAGTGAGAATTCTTTTTGTACTGCACAATGAACTTAACGCTACATCACATATATCATTTATCACAACTCATAAATAGTTTTACTAATTTATTATTTTATGATAGTCGTCATTATTCATCATAACTATGATGAGTGAACTTGGATAATTTAAATAAGAATTCGTACTTACATTATAGGCATCTTTTCTATAAACGCCAAGAGAAAGCAATAATGCCGAAAAATTGCTCAATTTATCAACTTAGAAAACTTAAAAAAAAATGCACGCTGGATGTCGAATGGGTCAATAAGAATGTTTCTGTTCTGTTAAACTTTGCATGCATAATTTAATAATCAGAACGGTGAGTAAAAGCCCAAGTCTTAAAAGTGCGCCAACGATATGACTGACATTGGTCGCACACACAATATTTGTGTACACGTGACTGAGAATATACGAAGATGAGAGTAAGTAGAGAAATGTTGCCCGGCTTAATTGTTTACTTTTTATCTTTGATACAAAATTTGGCCTAAGATTATCAAGGCTGAGTTTATGGAGTGATGGTCATGGCGCTCAACTTGAACGAATGTTCCTGTGTTTGGGAGTTCAGCCAATTCTCCTTAGTTGTCAGACTAAAGTTAAATGATAAATACGTTAATACGCCGATTAATCGCTTTTCATTTTATCGATAACATAAAGTTCTTCTAGATGGAAGTGGATTCTGCAACATGTCATCATTTTATTAAACTCGCCAGCCATTGGCCATTCCGCAGTTACTTCGGCGATAACAAAGATCATCATACATATGTTCGATTATAGACTAAGAACAATGAGACATATACTTATATAGTAAGTGACCAAAATGATTTGCAAGTATTGTCACATTAAAGTAGCTGGCGCAGTGTTATTGTGAAACGGCATTTACAGAACACTGACAATAAATTTTCGGTGAATATTATAAATATAAAGCTGTACATAAAGGTCTTCTTGCCACTATTATTGTTCTGCCCCACACTTTTTCGATAAGATAATCATTGATAGCATTAATTACCATGAAATTCTTGGATTTTGAATTGATTTCTCTCTCAAGAACTACAAAAGCATGCGACTTATCTACTAAGATTGACCGCATTATCGAGCTCATTGACGGTGCAAGTTGTAACGGAGATGCATTTTATGACATGAAACCGTACTTCATAGAAGTAAAAGATAAAATCAGCGATCATTCTCTCACAATCAACGAGGAACATGTTCAACAATTAATGAAGGCATTAAGAGATTGGGAGAAGTTTCTGTTACGATATACTAAACCTAAAATGAGAATTTTTTTAATTAAGCTTAATACCATCGAACAAGTAAGTATTCCCCTTCCCCGATTGCTGATTTGATGGACTGCAATTCTGAGTGCTTTTTATACCTTCATAACTTATTTTCTTAGATAATAAGAAAAACAAAAAAACCATACGATAAGTTGAATACTGCTCTTAGAACTGCCAATATATTTATGACAAAAGAATCGTTAGAGTACAGCAGGATAAGTGAGCGACGTTGTCAAGACTCGTTAACTACAACTGGTTGTGCCAATGGTGCTTTATTGTCGAACTGTGACAAAGAAAGCCTGACTATCAAGCCCGAATTGGTTAAATTCGAGTCGCCACCTGATTCTTCTGATTATGGTCCTATAAAGATCGCATATCATGAGGAGGCTAACCAGAATGTTGGCGCTGTAATGCTTAGAATCGGACAGGATTGTGAAAGTGATATTCAGAACAAGCTTTCTAAGGACTACAAAGCAGCTTATATTAGCTCCAAACTGAGTGCCGATAACGATTTATTTGCGAGAAAGTACGTGTCTGTTACTAGTTTATGCAAATGCGATATATTGACGTAATGAAGAAAAAAAACCAACAAACTAATTTGCTCAATTACTGTATAGTTATGGTGTCTTACTTTATGAAGGAATTTACTACGTAGTCAAAGAACTGCCAGAGTTGGGAACGCTACATGATTACTTTACAAAGTACAACAACGTTTGCTGGAACAAAAGAATAACAATGGCATCTCGCCTGGCAAGTGCGGTTACTATTTTGCATAGTAAGCGTATTCTGCATCATGATATCCGTAGGTAAATAAGAAATGTGGACAATGATCGATCAGTTATTTATTGATAAGATGTTATTAATATACTCATAAATATACTTTCCGTGTTTACAGTTGCAATGTTTACGTAGATAGGTCACACAACGTCAAACTAGGAAACTTTTATCATAGCAGAGAAATATCCGATACCACGACAACTCTCGCTGACGAACACGACCATGTCAGATGGCTGTGTCCTGAAAAAGTGAAAGATAGCAATCTCGAATACTCAATGTCTGCTGATGTTTACAGGTAGAAGATGATTTACTGATTATCTTATTAACAACTAGCATCAACTATCTACCATACATATACTTAACTTTATGGTAAAATTTACAGCTTTGGCATTTTAATGTGGGAAATTTCGTCTTGTAAAATTCCCTTCGCGGACAAAACTATCAACGAGGTGTATTATATGTTAAAGAATTCTGACGAAGTTGACGCACGCCCACAAATTGTTGATGGTACACCTGAGAAATACCAGAAATTAATGCAGGAGTGTTGGAGCAAAGACCCTAAGAGTCGTCCGTCAATGGATTCTGTTGCAAACCGACTCAAGAGTCTTGAGCAAGATTACGAAAACAGCAACCGAGAAATTCCAACCCAATTTATCGAATCCACACATTCTAACATATCAATTCAGAGCGCGCTTAATTTACATAGACAAAAAAATTACAAAGAAGCCTTTGAACAGTTCAAATTACTTGCGGACGATGATGAAATCTCCAACTCGGCTGAAGCAAACTATCGTGTTGGTTTATACCTTATTGATAAAAACGTCGACTATTACCCGAAAGATCCCCAAACAGGAATAGTATATCTCAAAATGGCATCAGAACTGGGCAGCACCAAAGCTCTTCAATATCTTGCTCAATACAATATGGCTAATGCGTTAAAGTTACGAAAACAGTTAAAAGATGCGGGAGATGTTGAAGGTGCAGAAAGAGTGGAACAAGAAATGAAGTCAGAGTGTTTGCCTCCCTTTTTGAAAGGTGCAGAACTTGGCAATTATCGTTGTATGAAAGATTTAGCTGATTACGGAGCAAAGTTAGGAGATAAGGAGAGTTACAAAAAAGGGGTTCAAATGCTGAAAAGCGCTCTTACACTACTAACTAATTACGAGGACTCAAACATAATTCATAACTTTTTGAAAAAGTTACAACAAGAGCATGGTGATAAATTTGATCAAGTTTAGAATAGACTTGATATGATATTTTGTGGACATTTTTGGCATTTATATATTCTTCTAAAATATTGTATAAAAAAAAACATTCACATACAGATATAGATTAGTTGTTGTTACATTAATAAGTATAAAGTGAGTAAATTTATAAAGTCTTTGAGTACGTGTTTATCTATTAATTTACTGGGCCGAATATATGGCAAATTGAATAAAAGCTCGAAGTTGATTAGTATACATTAAGTGCTTGTGTTGTACCTCAGTTGGGGACCTGACTGAGACAACTGAGTTCTGGACCGAGTGTCTGGGTTCTGGACTGATCGGTCCCAACTTGCACATTTAACAGTCACATGACATGTACCCAATAAAATGCTCTGAAATCTCGAATAAAGTGAAACCCAACATTAATATTGCAGATTGAACAGCGCATACTTATTATATAAGTGCGCTTACGTTTCTTTGAATTTCCGATTTAAGAAAGTTGATTGTTCTTAATTCGACCAATGCATCTTCGGGATTTCTTCTGTGCGATTATATATTTTTTAATCCACGTTTTTCGTGCAAATTAAAACCTGCGACTGTTACTAAATTAACAGATTCGAGAGTAGAGGAATTGTTTCTTGTAATCCACTCCATGTGTAATTACAATGTACATATTGCTTGGCTGTCCCTAATAGCATTCAATAAAATTCAATTCGCTGAAAGTGACCGATGCCGATCTTTAAGTGGATGAAGAGATATAATCCTTTTCTTTTTTTGGTCGAGGCATAGTGAAACAATAGAGAATGCTACGTGTGTGGAATACCACGTTTATTGGATAACGAATCGTTAAACAGGGAAGCTACACACAACGGTGTCCGAAATTTCTAAGAGAAAACTGTTACTTTCAAATCTCCTAAAACTCAAAACTTTTTTAGTTGATTAAAAAATCTAAACCATGTAACTTTTGTTCTGCATCATCTGTTATATCATTCTTACGGATTAGTTTTCTCTATACTCTCTAATACAAAAGCCTTAGGGGCTTGAATGTTGGGTAATTTATTTCTATCGAAAGCCATGTGACAAATTTTGGTAGAATAAATAAATGATAACAAAAAAGATAAATCGTCATGTTTGTTCATGTTGAAGAATCTCTTAATTCTAAAACAAACAAACAGTTTACTTTTATGTCGTCATTCTGCTACAATTAATCGAAGTTTCTGCATTACCAAAACATAAAAGTGCTTCTATATAGCCTCCTCAAAGTTTCACCGCCTAATTGAGAACTTGTGAGTTGCAGTTGAAATAGAAATTCGAAACTACAATCCTCAGCCTTTAAGTATTCGTGAACTTGCAAAGGGATTGTGAAAGAGGTTTGGGAAGCAATTAGTGTATTGTGTGACTTGGTGTGATCAATGCCTAATAAATTTTTCAGGCTATGATCGCAGCCAAAGGAACATTGACAGATAATTTCGAGTTTAAAATAAAACCGAATATGTCTCAATACGCAATTCTTGTCATTACTTGTAATTTCAGCGGCATTCTCTAACCTCATCAGATGACTGTTTGCATATTTAAAGAGTTACGTGGTTCTTTTAGAGGTTTTTTCCACTATGATGTATGTAATTATATAGTTTTTGTGGTATAACAAATTTGTCAATATTTGCAATTATAATTTACAGTAGCGAGCATAAGTATCCAAACCCTGATTATCCGTAATATTTTAGTCCGATCAACTGTCTCCAGCAAATTTTCCAAACACTAAATCTCTTACCTTGTGATATTCCGCAATTTCGACCATAAAATTTCAAAAATTCGTATCACGACACTACTACAATTATTTTTTTATAATGTTCTTCTGCACCATCAAAATGCGTTTATGTGGGGGGTTCAAAAAGTTTTGACACAAGACGTATAAATTTTTATTTACATAATAAATATTAATTTAACTATTCCATTCCCTTAAAATAGTCACCTTTAATCTCTATACAACAGCTCAGCCTTCTATGACAACTCTGAAAGCACTCAGAATACCCTTTTGCGCTATGCTATCGGTTATTAATTTTACAGTATAGAAAAGTTCTTGAATCTCCCAAAACACTTTCCACCAAGTACTTTTTTAATTTTTGAAAATAAAAAAAAAAATAGTTGCACGGAGCCAGATTAGGACTATAAGGATGGTAGGGAAGCAATATGACTTGTTCTTCCCAAAGGTACTTAGTGATGACTTTTGATTTGTGTAATGCCCGCACTGTAGGCACGTGAGGGAACCTATTTAACTCATGCTTTCTTGACAAATTTTATAATGCAAAATGATTTTAATACTTTCAGTTGATCTTCAATAATATTAATGTTCAAAAGTGTACGGCTTCGCAGAGATATCCAGAATAGGTGTGCATCTTCGATGCTCGATTGTCCGGCTTCGAATGCTTCAATCTAGCGGTAAATAGTATGCTTTAATGGTGCTTTATTTCCTTCAACAGTGATATTAGCCCTTTGTGATTGTCGTCAGCTCCTTTACCATTCTGCCGGCACGCTCAAAATATATCATTTTTGGTTTTCGCGAGTAAATTTTCCATCGTTGTTAATAGACAAAAATTTTCTCGACAACTATCAAACTAAAACAGATCAAACATCTTATCATTAATTGGGTGTAACTCAAGCCTTATAATATGGTTATTTTATCAAGTAAATGTAATCAGAGGTTGCTGAGATAATTGCACTGTGTCGAAACTTTTTGAACCCCCCACCTATATAAATTTAAGTGTGATCACTACTGCAAAATGCAAACGATCGTGCGATATGATGTTGGTGAAAAATATCACACGTGTTTATTGCGAAGTACTTTATAGAACGATTTTATTCCAACTTGATTAGACGTAGAAACTAATCTGACAAAAAAAAAAAGATTCTGCAAATCTATTAAATACATGTGGAGATATGTATTTTTAAGTTTATGTCGACATGCGGCTTTGATATGTTTTCATATATTTTAGAGGTTGTTTGGAAATTTGCTTTAAGACATCCGATCGAGCAGAAATTTTACAGGTGATCGTGGTTTGTAACACACATTATATGCAGGGGAATTTTCAAACGTCTGTTCCGAACTAGGAGTGGTCTGATACTACTGTGTATGTACCACAGTAACTGGCTTGACATAGTAACACATTCCGTTTGCGTATCGCAAATAAATTTTACAAATACAAATTAATAATTTTCCGGATGTACGCGGTGTAGAGTAACAGTATACAATTAACTTGTGCTAGAAAGTTTTCATAATATATATGTAGTAAATTACCCACATCTGCATTTTGCGCTCAAATGTCATCGCCAACTTCAGACATTAAAGGCCTACAGAAGGTTAATGAGGATGTTAGCATTTCAAGATCAGCTCTAATTGACTGTTTAATTGAATCCTCTAAAACTTACGATAATGGAGAGCCGTTAGCTGAGCGTTGGCATCTCAAATGGATTTCTTATTCGGAAATTACTGATATCGAACCAATTCAACAGCTTATAATAGATCAAACTGTGTATTATGCCACATATAACCGTCCAAATCATAAGCCTGAAATGATAATGCTATTATCGCTTGAAACCAAAGACAACGATGTGCAAGAATTTATTACAAATATTTACTCAATTCCGGCACATAGACATGAGGAATCGGCTAATACTGACCAATTCAAGAGATATTCAACATTACTTGTTAAGCGCAACAACTTGATAATCGGGTTTACTAGAGATAATGACAAATATTTCATGGTAGCCAAGAGACAGTTTCACCAATATTATTCTTTATATGGATTTTGCTCCGCATGTGGAAAGCTTAGATGCAGTCCTGTCTGGTGTGTTTGTGGTCATAAACAGTTATCGAATGGATGGACAAGCGCAGATGAAAAACTCGACGAATTTATTAAGGATTCTCAAAGACGAACCAAGACTGCAAACGAAGCTTATTTAGAGTGGATTCCATTTGAATTGCTTCGAATTCGCCCATCGGATGGTGAAAATCATTTTAATGAGAATCATTCATCGATCAACAAGCAGCAACGTTCATACGCATTTTTAAATAGCATACCTATTTATAAAAAAGTAGAACTGATTTCTCTTGAAGTAGTACATAAAGCGGATAACTCATACTATCAACTTGTAAGTAATCTATGTCTTGTAGCACTAACATTATACTTTGAACCATCTAACGCTCGTTCCAATTTTAATCAGCTAAGTGAAGATTATCCTGAAATGATTAACAGAAATGTTTGGTCTATTATCGGGTTTACGTATCACACAGAATGGCAAACGTATGCCTTAATTAAATTGCGAAAAGCTTATAAAGAAAATGCATTTAGTGATAAATTATGCCTGGCATGTATAGATTATTTGCATCCCAACGTAGACACATTCTGTTTGGACTGTAAAGCGCCAATACCTCTTGATTGGACTACTGGCAACAAATCTCTAGACTCGTTCATTATGAAATCGTGGCAGTCTAGAATACACAAACACGACAGTTTTCTGCAATGGATAGAATTTTCTCAGTTGACAAATATTCAAGAAACTTCCTCGTTAGAGCGTGGGTGCACACATACCGCAGACTTGCAAAGAGTGACGGCAAACAAAGATAGCGTGATAAAAGTAATGCTCAAGATGATCGTAAGTGGGGATAAAGCTCAATCTTTTAACTTTAATCAGGTAAAAAATTTTATTATTATATATTTGTTGATATCACTAATAAATTTATACAAGAATTTTCTGTAATAACTGCATTATCTGCATACAATAATACTGTAGCTTCTTAAAGATTATCCAAAGATATTGTCTCCAGACAATTTTTGGATTATCGGCATCACTCAAGAACCATCCACCGACGATTATTTTTTGATATTTTACACCACCATACGTTCAGTGCTAGACCAGATAATGAAAGCAATAAAAATAGAGCGGCCCGGTTACAAATTGAATTGGATACCATTTGAGCATCTCGATAACTTGCAGGAAATTGGATCTGGTGCATATGGGACGGTGTATTCCGCTATTTGGAAGAATTCCACGTCTCAATCAAAACATAAGCGCGTTGTTCTAAAATATTTGAAAAATTTTAACGAAACATTGGATTCGTTTATTTCCGAGGTAATTATTCTCAACAATTTCAACGTCATGTGATATTTAAAGGCATCTAAAAACTTTTATTTTTCGAGTAGGTTAAAAATCATATCACATGTTCGCCGGTTGGGTTTTTTCTAAACTTTTATGGCATATCGCAACAGCCCGAGACCAACGAGTATATTGTTGTAATGCAGCATGCTGACAAAGGCAATCTTTTGTCTTATTTGTATCAGAATGTTAATGGGTTGACCTGGAGACAAAAAATAGAGCAACTGCTGAATATTAGTTTTAATCTGATTGCAATTCATAATGCAGGACTAGTGCACTGTGATCTCCATGGTGGAAACATAGTCGTGAATGCTGAGAAAAAAGCGGGTGTAGATTACACCAGATCGTATATATGCGATCTAGGGCTTTCTCAGCCAGAAAATGCAGACTTGTCAAAAGCAATGCTCAACGGTGTTTTACCTTACATAGCACCAGAAGTTTTTTATACTCGCAAATATACCCAGGCATCAGATATCTATGCTTTTGGTATTATTATGTATCAAATTGCCAGTGGTGATCCTCCTTTCAGAGATCAGTCATCTGACAAGTGTTTGGCGCTGCACATTCTTAATGGACTACGACCAGAAGTGCCGGATTCTACCCCGGATTTCTACAGAAAACTTGCTGAAAGATGTTGCGACGGCAATCCCAACCAACGTCCAAGTATTCAAGAAATTTACAAGCTACTCAAGGATTGTTCTAGAGAAGCGGACAGAGACAAGTCCGATAATAATGTATGGAATAAGATTTATTACAATGCAAATTCGAAGCCTGTATCAAAAATCGAGAAGGAAAACAAATATTCTAGTAAGCGGTTGCCTACCATAAACTTGGCTGAACTGAGGCATAGCAAGTCGACTACAAGTAAGTAGAATGTAATAAACTGTATATACACAAGAAAGTAAAACAAGTATAAAATATCAATGTTATTAATTCGTATTTTTATGTTAGTTGATTTCATGACTACAAGAAAACTGACCCAAGGTATGTATCATGCTATTCATAAATGATAATGTTTTATGATTTTTAAGTATAACTGTCTACATATACTGTTTATCAAATATTTCCAGACTCAAATCAGGTTAATCTTGAGCTTCCTGATGATGTCTTGCCTGCGTGACATATTCGTACGAAAACGTAGTTTTCATATTAAAAAGGTATGTCTTATCATTTATTATAAAGCATTTTATCCCAACCACTACTTTGCTAATTCTCTCTACGGCATCGATTTTTTCGAACCAAAGAATACGAAGATTTGGGAGTTTTAGAGACAACTATCACACAATTTTTTAAATGTGTCTTGTAGGTCGCCATTGTGCTGACGGATAAAATTTCCGACTATTCGTTTACCATACCAGATAAGAATGCATTTGAAGGGACGATAATTTTCTAGACAAATTTATTAATAAAGAATAATCTTAGTATTTCGTCGTTACAATATTAACCAGATATTCGAAAATCTCAATTGGATAGCACCGCTAAGACAAATGAGGATGGTCACAGAACTTGTTTATTTAGGATTAATATTTTTGCACTACAAAAATTAGATTAGATTATTACTACTACTACGTCTAACATACCCAGCTATCGTCTCTAGGACTGGGGGGGACTACTTCTTTATACCATTTTTTATCTCCAAGACAACTACCAACAGTCTGAGGCGAATAACCCTGCTGTATTACATAATAAAATGCAAAAGGCCCAAGAATATTGCTCGTATCTGGTTCGACATCATGGTTCAGAGCCAAATGTGGAGTAGGAAATGGTGCATTTTTAATGCTAGTTCTATAAACGTCCTGTGATTGAGGGACAGTATATCCAAGAGAATCACCGCTATCAATATCCCAAGTAACCATCTCATATCCAAGCGATGCCATTATACCACGTACACGCGTGTCATAGCTACCATAGGGTGGTCGCATGTAGCGGGGTACTTTGCCGACAATTTTACGAAAGGCATCCTCGAGTTTGGTCATTTCAAGACGAATTTGGTCATCAGACAACTTGACAAGATCGGAATGAGACCAAGTATGAGAGCCGAGTTGATGTCCTTCCTATCAGCGAAAAAAGAAATTAGAAAGATATTGTCAGTAGATAAAAAATACAATTGGTGGTTTCCGTTCTAAAAAACAGAACAATAAATTATATACACGTAAACTCACATTAACAATACGTTTGATAACGTCTGCCTGATCGTATATACAGCGATAGTTTAGACCATTGACAAAGAACGTCGCATGCTGTTTTTCAGCCTTAAGGGTATCTAATAGGCCGTTGGTAAACTGGGAACAGACAAACAAACAGCAAACAGGTAAAGCAAACAAAATTTTTAAACAATAAACAAACAAACGTAAATGTCATGTCAATCTATTTACTTCTATGGGGCCATCATCGAATGTGATAGCAAATGAGCCTGATTTGGAGCATGTAGTAATGACTGGAGCAAGTGCGACGGGGGTTTCAGTAGCTGTTGGAGCAGAGACTACTACGGTAATGGTCGTAGCAGGGATTGTAGTAGTTGTAGTATTGCCGCCCCATCTGTAAACAATATATTTGAGAAAGATGTTTTTGATATCAACTTCCACCGAGTTGCAAAAAAAGCTTACCTGTACTTTAATTTTTGATGTACTAAATCCAAAATAAATTTGTTACCGTTTGATTAGAAAAACAGCATCATATATGCTTACATTTATACTTACTCGCGCCAAAATTTTGGGCATTGGCTGACACTATTAATAAAACCAGTAAAAATATTGATGATTGTAGAAGATGCATTATAATCTTTCGGATCTTTTTATACTCAAGAAAGGCGCCGTGATGGATTTTCAGTGTTATATTATTACACGGACAACCGCTCAGAACAGGCGTATTATCAAATGCGGGCGTGTTATATAAATATGAATGATGCGACATTTTGATCTTTTTCATTGCACACGTGATGTGGTAGACATGGCGCAAACGCTAGAGACAAGACAAAGTGGGTATAGTAATGTTCGTCGTTTATTTAGCTACAAATACACAACTTTAAAAGACGTTATATCAAGTCTTCTGCGAATAAGCGCACATAATGAATCAATCGCCCGTGTAATGCGAAATGTTATCGTTAAAAATAGTGTAACTGACGTTAGTCTGATGATTTGTTGAGTCACTACAATAATAGTATTTACATGTGATAAGTTAACTCTGAAGTATCGAATTCTATTTACGCCCACCGAATACATCTAAAATATGTCATTTTTCTCCACACTTGCTCAAGGAAGGAAGGTAATTAAGAGTCTTGGTGAGTAATCTTCAAAACATCAACACTATCCGAAAGTTTGGGAGGCGCTGGCTGTCAAAGTAGGACAAATGAACTATTAGAAGGATACATAACCAGGACAATTGTCGATTACGATGGTCAAAAATAATAACGTTGTTGATTTACCGTGGTTATGTTATGCTGCAGACGAAAGGAATAATCAACGAGGAGGCAATAGACGATCAAGTCTTTCGAATACAAAATGTAAAGAATCGTTCCATCAATAGAACAGTATTCGGCTAACTATAATTGATATATTTGTTGACGATCATGCGGTAATGTTTAACAAACAAGGATACACAAAATTCCGCAACCGCTGAGACTATTGCGCCTTTGTTAAACTTTTGAGGGTAAATGATCGGGAATATTTCTCTTGTTTTGGAGAAAAGGTTAATTTCGAGAACCATTTTTACTGCCTAAACCGTAAACAAGAGAACAATAAGGGACGACTATTATGTGAAATTATATCGACAGCTAATGGTTAGTCAATGTTGAATTCGAGATATTCAGCGGAAAGAAACTAAGCTTTCTGCTTAAGAGTGTCAGTATTGATAGTGATATGGTTGCTAACTACTAGATTAAGCCAGATTCGATCTGAGGATAAGATAGGATAATGGACGGTTCTTCTTTTTCTTATACGAGAGCAATTTGTGTACTGCTAAAAGCTAGTTACCGCTCCGCGAAGTACATTTTCATCGTGTCTCCTGATGCACGTTCATGCACGTACTTTCCTATTTCGTTCTGTCAGCACTTCATTTCCTACGCACTAACTTTCAAATATCCGAATTCCGTAATTCAATGTAGATCTTATCCGACCGGTCTTATATCATATTATGCCATACGGTACGGTGCGGTATGCATAACGGCACAGCCATGGCCTCCACCCTAAGGAGACCAGCGCTTTTTATAATTTATTGTCTTTTGTTCTTTTGAAAAAAATTTGGTATTTGCTATTTATTGTTTAAAAATATTATCGTATATTTCTTTTTTCTTGAATTTATCAAACATTTCCCTACTTGATAATATATCTGACTAAATTCACACACTCTATAAACACTGTTGCATCTATCGCACTATATCAAATTTCTTTTACTGCGACTTTAGCCAACGTCTTTTCCTTTCTTTTTTTTTTTACTCCAAAATATTTTCACTTTACTATAATCGATATTCTCATTGAATGAAAATAACACATTCAAAAAAGGTCCAATTTTTGTCGTCCTTTTCTTATTACTCATAAAAGGTGTCAATTTTCTTAGTTCGGAAAACACAAATGAGCACCGGGTCTTAATTTCCATGATAACTTTCTTGACCAACATAAAGGTTACCGATAGTGTTAAGTGAAAGAGAGAGATTATTATCTCTAGTGCATGTCCTTAGTAGAACCGTTGTTAATAAACGTAAAAGTAATGGTTGGATAACTATAACAAATAATATTTCGCTATAACGGTTTCTCACTTAACTTCATTACTACATGACGTTGTCATCGTTGCGTTCAACTGAGTATGGATAACATTCACCTAGGTAATGACTCATGTTGCGGCTCACTAGAGTATTCGGCAAGTTAACTCCCTCACTCGAGAGTGTTCATAATTAGTTTTGCTGGCTAATTCACTGAACCAGAGTTTAACTCCGATAATGGTTGGTAATATTAATTACTAACGGAATTATCGATCGTTTAGCCTATAACAACGTTATGTTACTATGAGTTACTTGACTATTCCGTCGTGATGACATTACCAAGCAAAGAGTATTATAACATCACTGAACTAAGTTGTGCCGGAGTTATGCTTCTCTCACCGTGACAATAGAGCTCTGTAGTGTCGATGCTTAGTGATGAGGCCACCGACTTAGCCAACTTCATTATACTAC